CTTTTGGGTGTGTGGGGAGGGAAGGAGGTGAAGTTCTCCAGGGACAGATGACAGAAGGATTGTTTCTCACTTTTTAATTACTTTTTCCCTATTTTTTGGGGGTTTTTTTCGTTTGGTTGGTTGGTTGGTTTTGGTTGTTTTTTTTTTTAATTTTGTTTTTTTGAATGCTGAAGTAGACCAGAAGACCATTTTTGATCTGCTGGTGGTACATGCCTTGCCTAGCTTCAGATCACTGCCTGCTTAGCCATAGATTCCTGTTAGTCTATGGAGGAAATTCAGGCCTTTCCATGGCACAGTTGATCTCATTCTGAGTTAGACATCACGTTTCTTTTTTAGTTGTAACCAGAATCCAGCTGGCTAACTCTGATTTGGGTGTCTGATTTAGGTCAGTTGAGTTTCAGCCTCAGTATCTGATAAGGATTGGGGCATGAATACGAACTCAGATTTTGAGGTTTGGCTTAAATTAAATGGAAGGGATTCTTGAGCAACAAGAAAGTACAAGAAGTAGCTATTTGTCTCTCATCCTTTTTATGTGTTAAGAATCAATATTCGGGTTTGACTTGGCACCATTAATTGAGCAAATTTCCTTGAGGTCTTTTCATTTTTCCAGTCAGGAACCTCAGCCTTACTTTCCCAGTTATATGTACTCTGTACTTCAGTTACTTCAGTCAATATTGAGATACAGGTGTGTCTTTTACTTAATATATTTAGGTCTATTCTGACAAAAATGCAAAATGCAGTTTGGGTTTCTTAAATAAAGAAGTGTTTTTCAGATCATTTGTTACTCTGACATTTGACTTGCAGTCCTTACCTGTCTGCTCCCAGCTGAAGGTTGGTTTTGGTCCACAGAAATTATCTTCAAACAAAGAGCAATACAGCAGTGGGAATAATAAGGATCAGATGTAGACTTTCTTTATGAAAAAGGTTATAGGCTTTTCTACCAGTAACTTCATGTTCAGTTCTGAGTTTTTCTTCTGTAGGTCCAAGTGTACCAGATATCTTTCAAAGAACAAGGTACTGCTGTGGGACTTCGGCTGCCTGGCCATCCATCTTGGGTTGGGTAGAAATTGCTGCCCTTTGGTTTCTAATTAGTGTGAATTGTGTTCTTAATAGCTGGTGGAGGGATGGGAACTTGGGATAGGCTTCCTTTCATTGTGTGAAATCCAAAAGGTCTGTAACCTGTTACCGAAGCAAAAGCTCCCCATCAATTGTACTACACTGGCTCTCTTCCCGGCTCTTTGCACCACTTCATCAGCTGTGAGGCACAAAAATGCCAAATTCTTAATGTTAAAAGTGACTGTTTAAGTATTTTGAAATGCTGTTCCATAAAAAAGATTTCCTGCTGTTTGACTTCCTCTGCTTATTTTCATCTTTATGGCTTAGTTTGCATTTTTGGAGTTGTACAGGCTGTTAAGAGGAAGAAACTGTTGCAAAATCACTTGAAATACCCCTAACAAATGACTGTAGGCTAGGACTTTTACTTTGTGAACATTTTGACATTGTTTGTTCTGAACATCTCTCTTATTGCCGCTGGAGGTATGTCCAGGGTTGAATTATAGGAGCGGATCAGTCATAAAGATGAGTTCTGGATTGTCATCAAATAAAGTGTTGTGCATCATTCAGATTATTTCTCTTCTAATTTTTGGGGTTTGGCTTTTCTTTCTCAACAGAAATGGTTTGGAGTAACAGCACATTGAAGTTTACCCTTCAAGTGTGTACCCAAATTTTTGAGGTTACAATGCAAACTTCATTTGAAATGAATTGCAGATATATTCTGAAGCTATAAAGCTCTCAATTTTATTACATTATCTACCATAAACAGATTTTTTTCTTTAAAAAAATGATGCATTAATAAATGTTTGTCAATAAATGTCGAAATTTCACATCTTTGATGAATACAGTTTTTGTTCTTGTCAGTCAGAGCCTCACAGAAGTACTGACATGTGAAGACAGGTAAATTGTGAATATTTAGTTTTCTTTTTAGTCAGCAAGATTATGTGTATCTTTACCTTTTATACTAATCCTCTGTAAATTTATGAAAAGTATTAAAGTTTCCATCTAAAATGAATTGGGTACATGCTAAGCTTCTTGCAAAGCATTTCTTCTGCCTAAACATTTCTAAACTCTTCTTCCTCTGCCAAAATGCAACTTGGATGCATAAACAAAATCCCTCCTGTATCCTAAGGAAGGATTTGAATAAAAGTAGAAGCTAAGACAAAATCAGTGTTCAGACAACTTTTTTTTTTTCATGCTTTTTTCTGTCTTCAGTGAGGATGGAATGAACAGATGGTCCAGACTGTAAAATTGTGTTATAATTTACTGAAACCTGGAGCATTTCACTGTGATCAGAGCCAGTGAAGGTAGACCCTGCTCCAGGATCTAAGAACTGAAAGTGAAAATGTATTCAGTGAGCAACAGTGGGAGTAGGAGAAACCAGTTTGTAGGTAGGGTTTTAACCAGCATCAGTAGCAAATAACGCTGCCTGTACTGTGTGAACCAAAACACGAGGCATTTGTGTCTGTCACACTGAAAATCAAAAGTGGGCTCTGCAGCATTAAATCTGTGAGATTGAACTGGTGTATTTTGAGTTTGAAGATTTATAAGATAAAGATGGGAAAGTGGGAAAACCGGATGCCTTTGGGGAGATTCAGCCCCAGACAGGGAGTCCTATACCTAGTTCTCCACTCCCATCCAGGTGTCTCAGTGACAGACTTGACTCAGATTATTGCTGCAGATGATCATGTGTATTAAAAAGAGATAGAACACTGAATTTAAATAATAAAGATCCTTATAAATGCTGGATGGTAGCAAAGTTGCTTGTAGATTATAATATAAGAAAAGGTGTAATAAATAATTTGTACTTACTACCTTACCCACAAAAAACATTCCTTCTTGTTTAAGAAAGAGTTTTTTTCCTCAGGAAAAGCTAATTTTGTGATGTCTTTAGGGTTTATATGTGATCTGGTGCTGTTTATTATCCTGATGTCTTCGTAGCGGTGGCAGGTTTTGTCAGAGGGGAGGCTCTGAGCCCATTCATGAGGGTTTCTTGGAACTGCCCTGGGAGTTCAGGGACACAAGTTGTAGCATTGCCACAGCTTACAAAATTCTATCTTGATGTGCAAAATTATTTTTTTTTTCCCTAGAAGCATGTCCACCTTGATGTCAAGTTCAGGATGAATCAGTTTTTATGTGCCACACGTGTGAGAAGTGCCTGTGCACCTGCAGCAGTGCGACCACTTGCTTCTTGCCTATGTTTTCTGCATTCATAGGCATTCAGAAGTACTTCCTAAACCAGCTCTTTGATCAGCCCTGCCACCTAGCACCTCTATTCTCAAATAAAACAGCTTCCTTTTACAGCTTGCTAAAAATAGCCATTTTTTTAAAGCCTGAGGACACAGTGATTCATGTGATAGCGAAGAGGAAGAAGAGTTTTTTCTTTTGCTTTAGGCTTTGGAAGGAAAGCTGTTGTGCTTGTTCCAGTGCCAACTAGGCTCTTGCTTGCTCCCACTTGGACTTCATGGCCGCATCGCCAACCAAGTGGCTCTGGCATCCCTTGATCTGCCATGGCAGCCCAGCAGCTATTTGAGATGCAGGTGCCATGTCCCAGTGCCCATCTTGGCTCTGGAGAGAGGGTGCACAGTCACTGCCATAACTGAAAATAAACCCTTGAGATGGCAGGTTGCAGCTTTTGTCTCTGTGGGGTTTGTGCAGAGCTCACCCAAGGATGAAGATATTTCTTGCAATTTATAGACAGGGAAAGGGGAAATGCTTCCACTTTGTCACTGTTAAAATTCCTGATGAAGCTCCTGATACCATTGCAAGTGCAGTGTAAGGGCAGGAAGAAGTCACAGATAGAGCTTACATAGGCCTGTTTATTCATGAATTCCTGTAGCAGCTCTGCAGAGGTCTCATTCTGCTGTCTGATGCCACAGTGTAAGACTGCTAAACCTGCTTCTAGGCTCTGGCTTGCAGCGGCCCCTCTCTCAATAACCTGCTCAGGTGCAGTTTTTTCTGCTTTGAAGCTCTTCATCTTCTCTTTTCTCCTGAAGAAACAGCCCCCAGAAAGGCACTAGTCCTTAATGTAAATGGAATTGGTTGCAAACCTTTTAAGATACTTATTCCTACTCTGGCGATGCGTTTCTGGAGGAACATGACGCAGAAGATGGCTGGTATATGTGCATACAGCATTTTAGTTGCTGAGCAACCTCTTTCTTGCTTCATCCACTTAGCATAAGAATCCCATTTCAAATAAGATACTTGGGACCCTGGCTGACTTAGTGATAGCTAGTGTAACCTGCAAAGACTACTTGGACAGGAAAACAAAACCACTTTCTTGAAAAACAAAAAGCTTTGCAAGAACTTCCCCTGTAAAGGACCATATATCTGCAGTGTTGCTTTCTAATTCCCGTACACAGTTTTTTATATTTGGGTTCTTGAGTAGACCTGAAATCACTGTTCTAGATAAAGCATGCCCAGAAGCAGTGGTTCTTATCTACAGCTCAACAAAGTTATCTTTCTTAGTGCTTACCATGTTTTTATTAATAGCATCCTGAGAACTTGTGCAACCAGATGATGTTTGCTCCTTTTCTCCTGACAAGCTTGTTTTAACCAGTTTTAATAAAATAAAAGCTTTGGCATGAAGGCAAAATAATCTTTCGTGTTGATGGAAGGGGGAAGAGTATACACTTCTAATATTGAAAACACCAAGGTCCCTGGAAGTGTGCAGTGATAAGACTCACCAACTTGAATAATTGTGTTTGGGCTTTTGTTTTTTTGTTCTTGTTGTGGTTGTTTGTCTTTTTTTTTTCTTTTCCAGGCTTGTGTTTGTTAGAATTGCCACCACCCAAAAGGCACTGGGTTTGTTCTTTTTGTAAAAGATTTAACACACATTTTTCATGTCTGACTATCTTCTTGGCTTTCTGTCATCGTTCACAGGAATTAATTGTTGATACTTGCCTATATTCATCCACCCAAGTACCATTTCCTCCTTTCCTTCTCAGCAATAGCTTATCTGCAGGGTCAAAGGAGTAATACCAGTCATATTGAATGGGAAAACAAGGAAATGGAGCCCAGATCCTGCTAGAAGCAACATATGGATTTTTTTGCCTTGGTCTGCCTCAAGTACCAGCTTTTGCAGAGCCTGAAGAAGGTACAGATCAGACAGCAAGATGGAGAATTCAGTGGTTCAGCTCTGGTTTAGACCTGTGCTCCAGTGAGAGCTGACAGTGTGCAGATGTCCACATTGTGTCACTCATGCAAGCTGCTTCCTCCAAATTATTCAATATGAAATTAAGGTTTTAAGCTTTAATTTTCAGATAACCTTTACAAACCAAGCAAAATGCAACCTTACTAGCAATCTTGGAAAGCATTTCTTTTTCTTCAGTGTTGGCAGAAATGACTGGCTGCTGGCAAGATTGTGTATTTGAAGTGAGAAGATGTCTTCCTTTGCCTTGTGTAACTGTGTGAAGAAGGGGTTGCATGTGCAGATACCTGGTATCTCTACATCCTACTTTAGATTGAGTACATTTTATACGTAACAAGTATTTTACAGGATTTTTGTGGATGTGACAGCAGGCAGCAGATGCAGTAAGTTGTCTCCTGGCTGCTAGGTTTTACTCAATTGATCCAGCTTGTTTCTGCATCTTTTAGCAGCTAATTGTTCCAAAGTCACAAACTCAATTGTCCTGCGAGAGTTTGCTTTGGAACATCTTTCCTGAATAATCGCTGTTGATTTTTGCATGTTATTTTTTAGTCTAATTTAGAAAGGACAGAATGTTTTTAAGGATCAGGACAATGGTTACGCAGCTCCAGTGGCTTGATTTTCCTTTGTGGAAATCAGTGGCACATTCATTCTGGGACTGGCACTGCTGTTTGTGCACATGGTGGTTAAGCTTAAGCCTGCCCGGTAGAGGTATTTAAGGCTCATTTGTTATGGAAAACCTCAGGCTTTATGTTAGAGGCATGAAATATTTAGTATGCAAATCCAATACTGCTGTTTATGGATAACATATTAAGAGTCACCAATGCTGTAGTGCAATTAGGGACTTGAGACAAGTGTGCAGTCACCCAGATAGGTGGAAAAGAACCATAAAGAGGAAAAGAAGAAAAGGCAAGAAACAACTGCTTTAAATTACTGCAAGGGAAATTCAGATTAGACGTTAGGAAAACGTTTTAACAATCTGAGGGGTTAGTCACTGAAATAAATGACCCATGGAGATGGAGGAACCTCCAGGAGGATTACACCAACATTGGTCAGGAATGAGGTGGACAGTGCTGGTCCTGCCTCTGATGATCCAGGGGAGCAGGCAGCCTCCCCGGGTCCCCTTCACTCCTCTGGCTGACAGCAGCCATGCTGTAAAAGGCTCTAGAGTTTATCTTAGTTCAGTTTCTTATCCCTAAAAAATCTAAAAAGTCCTCTGGCTCTTGTTACATTATCAGCTTGTTCTGTACTAAATATATCCTCATGCCTTGTGTCTGGGGTTTGCACACCGAGGCTTGTGCTGCATGCATTTTTCTCCAGGCTCGGCAGCGAGCAAGGTGGCCATTTCATCAGGTTTCTAGAACAAGCCTATAATTGGGTCTTGCTAGTTTGCTTGGACTGTGCTTTTCTTACCAATATTTGGCACACAAAGTACTTGTGCTCTTCACAACACTAAAGATCTCATCAGATGCTGATATTGAAAAAAAAAACAGCATCTTGCTTATAATTTCCTGAGTGTGGCTTTTTTTCCCCTCAGTTTTCAAACTTCCATTCAGTCCAGTAAATGGCTAATTTTAGCATTGTGCCAGATGTTCTGTTGCTATTGTCTGTGTATCTTCAAACTGGTCTGTAAACCAACTGGGATTAGATTTTTTGAGTTTTTTTCTGCCTTATCCCTTGCCAAAATTGGTGCCGTTCCTTCATGCAAAGTACATTTAAAAAGCTGATTAAAGCTGATTTAAATGTAGTGTGGTGGCATCACCTCCTCAGTGGGCTGTAAAACATCCAGGTGGCTTTGGGAAGAGAACTGAATCCAGACCTTGTGAGATAAAGCGAGTTAGTATGTTATTCCTGATGCTGACTGAATTATATGACTGTTTTACAGGAAAAGAGAGTACAAGTCTCCCCACCATTGACAAGAGGACCAAGTGCCTTTATACCAGAGAATGAAGTAAGTTTGCAGTTAGCTGGGCCAGGCGGGTGGTAGCTTTTAAAATAGCAATACTGAAAGACAGTTCTATGACCCTGCTTGTTCCATGGTACCCAGATGAGCTCCCTTGAGAGCAAAAGTGATGGTTTCTCTGGAGCAGGTTCCAGTGGGTAAGAACCACCCTGTCCTTGCACACAAGTGGTGCTGTTTGACATCTTTTCAGTCACCAGCACTTCTGGAGACAGCCATGAGTGACAGCTCTGCTCTTCTCAGGCAGCAGTTGAACACATTACTCATAATGCCAGACCTGGGGGGAGGCCTGTTCAGTATTGCAGCAGTATAATTAAACTGAAGTGTCTGACCTTCAGTTTGAAAGAGTTTGCAAGTATGACTTCACTCCTCAGACTGTAGCTGTGGCTCTTGAGAGAATTTATGGTTGAAAGGTATGGTTGGATTTCAGACTCAAGATTTCTGCCAACGACTGAATGTTCGAGGTAAGCCCTGATTTGCAGTTTGCTGCAGTAGGTGGAAAGTTTGCTGTGGTGGTGTTCTCTCGTGGTCTCAATCTTCACAGAGTCTTATAGTTGCTAAAGACAGATAATTCACATGCCAGAAGGGCCAAAAAGACATTGTGAAAGATAAGATAGCTGCTGTTCTCTGAGTCTCTCTCCATGTATACGCCAGCAAGGTTTGAATTTAAAACCAAATGGAGAGGGTGTAAAGGATGCCAACAAGAAAACATAATTAAGCAAAAAGGAGGAGAGGTCAAAGAGTCTTTTAAACTTGGGAAGAGAGGAGTAGAATGAGTTCCAGCCAGTCAAACTTGTGGAGAGAAGGCTACCCTTTCGCATGAAATACAAGGTGAACTTGAGATGCCAAATTTTGTAATGACCTAGTTTTTCTCATAAAGTCAATAATTATATTAAAAGTAGAAAAATAAATGTAGTTAAAATCGTAACATATTTTGAGAGAATTGTTAATGAATTTATTTCAAAGCTGAGAAGCTGAGACACTTGGTACAGGCACTAACCAAGGGTGCAGGAGAAATCTCAGAAAGGAGTAACCCAAGCGGTTGCCCAGTACAAGCAGGGACCCTCCAGCTGTATGGATAAAACAGCTATTCAGTATCACAAACAAATGCTAACTGTGGTTTGTTAAGCAAATTACTACCTTTTTCCCTCACTCCTTGTCATGAAATAACGGAGCAAATAGGAAGGATTTAGTTAGAGACTAGTAACACACTGAATGTCTCACAAATCTTGATAATAACACTGCTGGTGTCAAAGCCTGATTTATTTTTGCAATGGAAGGAATATGGGCAGAGCAATAACAACGTAATTGTAAAGGTTCCTTTAAAGCTGTTAAAGTGCCATAAGGCTTTAAAAGCAGAGCAAAAAAATATGTTTATGGATGATAATAAATCAGGAGGAAATACATGCACAGTATGAAGAGGATAGTTATAGAGGTAAAGATAAATCTTAGAAATAATAATGTGGCATATTGCTATGCCTAATATAGCAACAGTGCAGTCCTATCTGACTATATTTTGATGCTGTCAGCAGAATTTCTATCCATAATTTATACTGTTACAAGGAAAATCCCTGGCAAGCTGAAGAAGATTAGAAGCCTATGTTTGAAAAGTATGATTTCCCCAAGAAAGCATAAGAGACAAAGATCTCTTAAATATACTTGCTGAAGAATAAGGGAGACTCCTTGCAGTAGAGCAAGGGATGTACAGTAGTAAGTGAGATAAAGTGATCTCTAATGTGTGAATAAACTTCTGACAGTAAAAACATTATTGAGGAAAACTGAGAAGGCGTCATTTTGAGTACAAAACACAGAAAAGTTGTCATAATGAAGATGCACATGTAAAAATGATGGAGCTGCCTAACTGTGTAGCTGTTCCTCCCTTTCTTTCTGGGCTCATGAATTAAAATAGGAAAGTACACTGGTGAGAAGTGAAAATGTAGTATGTTGTTGGTGTTTCTTTAAATGTAACTTCTATATGAGATCTGATAGAAAAATATTTGAGACATGGTCCACTCATCATCCCATCACAAAGAAAGAAAACATATTTGAAATGGAATATTGTGTCGTCTTGGTTTTGGGCACTTTCTGGCTTCATGTGCAGTAAGCTATCTAAAATGTGTTCTCATGTCATGATGTTTGCAATAGTAAACTGGCTGATTTATTACTATGCAGTGTCAGAATAAATACTGGATACTCTAGTCTTGTGCTTGTAACTTCAGTGGTGAACATGTTGAGAGTGGCTGTTCTTAGTGATAAACACTGAGTAATAGCAGTAATACTGTGTCAGGGCTTGCAATGCAAGAGTTACTTATTCTTCTACTGTTTCATTTCATCTTGTGCCCAAGGTTTGGATTGGTTGGAATAATTAAAGAACAGCTTTTGTTTAAAGAAAGCATTAAATTCCTATTCTAAATAATACTTCAATGTTACGGACAAATTAGCATTTGATCTCCTCTTCAATTATACAAGCACAGAAGGGGTAGATTGCCAGGCTGTTTCTATAATTTAGTTACATAACCTAGTTCCTCTCCATTAATTTTGAAATTGGTTTTAGACCTGAATGCTCGGGTAGTATGTGTCTATACAGGCTGTCTTCCACAAAGAATTTACTTTCCATTTAGTTCTTACTTCCAGCTCTCTATACAGGTTTGACTTTAGCTGTTTTGGAAAGATCTACAGAAAAATGTTTTTGGTTTTTGTAGAAACATTAAAATAACAGAGGTTCTGTATAAAGTGCTCTTCAGTTCTCAGTATACAAGTAGGATCTGTATGTGTGTATTTGCATGCATGCAAGCATGTATGTTTATAAATATACATCCAGATCTCCATCATTGCCTTTAGATCTGTACACAAGGAAACCTTTCATACCACAGTATGTTTCTCCCTGGAGCTAAAGCTAAAGAAAATCTCTCTCTCTGCTAAAATGTGTCCATCTTATTTTTAGGTTATGCAAGCAAATGGTTTGGATGAACGTACTAATCTTCTTGTGGAAGAATATTCTACGTCTGGTCGCCTGGACAACATCACACAGGTCATGAGTATCCATACTCAGTACCTGGAGTCTTTCCTCCGCAGCCAGTTCTATATGCTGCGCATGGATGGGCCCCTTCCTTTGCCCTATAGGCACTACATCGCTATAATGGTATGTACCAACAGCCTGTGTATCTTCTCCTGCAACTTTCACTTTTGTATTTAGAAAAGGAAGAAAAAAGGAAGACTTTAGAAAGGAGAGATTAGTGTGATACTTTGACAGTGGGTGAATTTTTGTAGCAGATTTTTATCAGAATAAAGCATGCCTAGCCAGAAAGTTTTCGGTGAGAAAGGAAAATAGGCAATGTACCTCATTCCCTGTTTCCTGCAGTGATACAATTCTCACATGCCAACATCACTGTGCAGCAGTAAGATGAGTGGACTCGACTCACAACAAATTCCAGGTAGACACTAGGAGAGCAATTTTTACTGTGAGGATGTTGAGACATTGCGGTGGGGACCACGACAGGTTCTGTGATCTCCAAAGCTGGAGATCTTGTCTGGACAAGGCTCTGAGCAACCTGTTCTAAGTCAGCCCTACTGTGAGCAGGGGGTTCTCCTCTAGTGTTCTTTTCCAACCTAAATTATATTCTCCAGTTCAGAGTAATCAAATGTATTTTTGTTAGAGAATCCTCCATACTGTATAGAAATGCATTGCAATGTAACACAAGGCCTTAGGAATGAAATTGTACTTAAAACATTGTTTTGTGTTAATAACCTGTCTTCCACCCTCAGCAAAATCAGATTACATGATAATGTGCTGCACTTTTCCCTCTGTGTTTAATTATTCCAGGCTGCTGCCAGACATCAGTGTTCCTACCTAATAAATATGCACGTTGATGAGTTTCTAAAGACTGGTGGGATTGCAGAGTGGTTGAATGGTTTGGAATACATTCCCCAAAGACTGAAAAATCTGAACGAAATAAACAAACTCCTTGCACACCGGCCCTGGCTAATCACAAAAGAGCACATTCAGGTACCTCTTCAGTCATGCCCTGTAAATAGCAATAAATGTGTGGTAAAAAGGACTGCCAAGCACTATGTGGGTGTCGGGTTAGGCTCCATTACCCTGAGTTAAAAAATTCAGGGAAGTACTAGTGCATCGAACAAGCTAATAAATTCTCCTGTGTGACAGGAGAATTTGTGTGACAAAGCCAACAAGATTTTCTTTCTAGGAATAGCATTGGCTAAAATGGCCCCAAAGGGAAAGAGGTAATCTATTAGTTGTCTCTTTTTTTTTCATCCAGTGAAGTTTGTGTGCAAGAGGAATATGGTATTATTGGAAGAAAATAATTGATCCCTTTTTAAAATGCATAGTGTTTTATAGAAAAGCTGGAGGCCAAAGGAAATTTTATATTTACACATTTTTTATTCTCATTTCAGAAACTTGTCAAGACTGGGGAAAATAATTGGTCTCTTCCTGAACTGGTGCATGCTGTTGTCCTGTTGGCACATTATCATGCCTTGGCAAGTTTTGTATTTGGTAGTGGCATTAATCCAGAGAGAGATCCGGATACATCTAATGGAGTCAGACTTATAGCAGTCAACAACTTCTGTGTCTGCGATCTTGCCAATGACAACAACATAGAAAATGCATCCCTCACAAGTAGCAACTTTGGGGTTAGTGTTGCAAGAAAATTCTTCTGCTTGCCTCTGTTTTGCATTAGAAAACTTTCTTCCTTTCTTTCCTGCTTAAATTTCACGGTGGTTTGAAGGTCTTTGTCTACTTTACGGGAGTGCTTGAGTCTTGTAATTCTTACATTCATTCTGGCAATTTTCTGTATAATCCATGGAAAACCAGGATTGTAACTGTGGATGGTAGTCAGAGGAATGTGATTTTGATAGTTAATCTCACAACCCATTTGGCAAGACTAAAACTTTGCTTTCGGCGGAAAGCTTCAAGTTCCAGTTTCTTCAGACAGTGTGGCATTGAGTGGGGCATGGTGGCATCCATTTTCTAATGTGGAATAAAAAAAAAGAAATGGAAAAAAATAGTAGGAGTAGTAATAATAATAATAATTTTAACTTCAAGGCCTACAATCACAAAACAGGTCAGTTCTGAAACACTTCCATGTAGATGGGAGGAAATGTCTGAAATAAAATTACTTAATTCTTCATGCTGGTGTTTCAGTCTTGAATCAACAGAGAACTTTGATTACTAGTTAATTAACTTAAATGTGAACTTTTTTTTCCTGAAAGGGGCTCTATAATGCTTTTGAAGACATGTCCTTGAATTAATGCTGACTGATTAATTAGCCTCGTTGCCTTTGATGAAAGATCAAGACTATGAGAGACTCGCTAGATATAATTTTTACAATTAGCAGAAGAATGTGAACATGTGATCGCTTAGTTCAATCACTGTGTCTTAAACTTCTAGCCTGTAAGACATGCTAGCTCATACAACAAGGGTGTCTTACTCCCCATTTGTACTGGGCCAAGGGTTGCTGCTGAGTCTGTGCTGCTGGTTAAGCACTGAGCAGCATACTAGAAAACAATTATAGCTATAGGCAGAAGAACAGACTCGAAAAGATGGAAAAAACCACTCAAACAATTTATCTTATGAAAAATCTGAATGATAAGTACATTTCAGAGCACCCAAAACTTTGATGCATTTCTAGGAAAAAAGTGGTCTGTTTTCCTCACAAAAGTAAGAAAAAGGGTCAACATAATAGTTATTTTGATCATACATAGTGAAAAGCACTGATTTGCCATCTGAGGTTGTGTTTCTACATTGCAGTATTGCACTGTATCTCTTCAGAAACATATTTTCATTACCAATAGACTGAAAAAAGTTACCATCATATTAAAAGTTGTTTTCTGATAGATGTAGGGCCCACAGATGGATTTTCCTGAGCTATCTACATGAGGGAATGTATAAGTGACTGTGGTTCCTACATTCAAACACCACCTCTATGCTGTGAATCCCACTGCAGAAATTACTGCAACAGGTTACATTAACGCTTCCCAGCTCCTGTCTTCTTGCTGTCTGAAAGCTGTTGTCTGTGCTGTATGTGACAAAATGCATTCTGGCTTCAGTTTTTGTGTTTGCTGCTGCTGTCTGGTTTTGAGAGCACTTGTTGTCAAGCATGAAATCCGAAGATGACACACATTGTCTATCTTCTAATTTTGCAGAATGTCATGGTGTTTTTGCAGATTGCAGATTCTTTAAGTGAGCTGGAGGCCTTGATGGAAAGGATGAAGAGACTACAAGAAGATAAAGAGGATGAAGAAGCCTCTCAGGAAGAAATGGCAACTCGCTTTGAAAAGGAGAAGAAGGAGAGTCTGCTAGTAATTAGTGGAGGTATTTGTGCTTTTCCAGTTCCGTTTTGTTTATGCTTTGTAAGAAAAAAATACTTGAGGGTAGTTCAGTGACTGAAACTTTTTCTGTTTCTTTATTCTGGCTCTTCATGAAGTAGGAGTGTATTAGGTGGTCTTGTCACTTGCTTCATCTGCTTAAGATTTCTTGATCGTCAAATAACACCATCCTTTTTACAACTTGAAATTTAGCTTTTGTATATTAAAAAAAGACTGTAGGCTTCTTTAAAAAGTAGTGAGTAAATTTCTTTTTCTGTATATGCTCTGTATCTTCAAAATAATTCATTCATATAAATATTATCTAATACTTCAAAGGTTTACCTTCTACAGCACTTAGAACTTCAATGACACTCCTAAGTAGCCTTCAGATGTGACATTTAGTTTAGGAATTAGATTGGAATGAGACTCAACTTCTTCACCGTTTACTGCCCAGCTGGAAAGGACATTCATAACTTGCCGTTCTGAGTGATCATACTGCTGTGCTGTTCCACTGCCTGTGTTGTGATAGAGATTCATAGCATTTTTTTATTTTTAAGTAATATTCAGAATTCTGAGCTGAAGCCTTCTTTTCCATATTCTTCATATGCTCTGGAGGCTGCCATCTCTAACAAACCACAAAACAAAGTCTGCTTCCTGTAGACAGGAAGATGGGGTTTTGTTTGCAAAGAAAGTGTTAGAAGAAAGAATATTATTAAGGCAATCAGAATCTTCAGCTATTTCCTCATAGTAGAGGCTACTTGAAGGTGATTGCTTGTATCATTTTGAGAAGTGACCCATAAAATGCTTCACATTTTACTACACTATTCTTAGCGAATTTAGTTCTCAGTAGCTTTAGACCAAATGTGTTTTAAGGTATCAGTGTCTTTGTGCAATGAGCACAAAAGGGAGGAAGAATGTGTTGCGGATCAGCAGAGAGATTGTTTTGTGGATCTCTAGGAACATGTAAAGTCTCTGAAAGAAGATACATCCAACAACATTGTGGCTGGATATTTAGAAATGGTCATTGTATATTCTTGCTCTGTTTTCCTATGGTCAGGCGGTGTCAGCAGTGCAGATAAACAGACAGCCATTGCAGCTGCATTATCAAATCATGACTTCCATGAGTCTCTGCAACTTCAGGCATATGAGGAAGAGGACTGAAGGGTTTTTTGGATGAGGTTGCTAATAGTTTTATTGACTTTCCTCCCCCTTTGCCTTTTGCTGATTTTAGTTGAGGAGTCTGTGTGTGTTAGGCCTTTACCCTTTCATGAAATTCAGTGCTTGTCAGGAGAGAGGAGTGTATGTATACAGTTTTTTTATTCTTTGCTGAGAATTTACTGTGGCAGATGTTGTGCAAGCTTCTTCCTACACAGTTATGTTTTGATTGTTTAATGAGGCAAAGAGGAGATAAAGCACTTCTGCAATTCTTAAATTAACTGACTTTTCAAGGTGCTAACTGGGGACATATGGCAACTGTTCTGTCAATGCATGTGGAAGCGAGCCACAGTTTTAACATCAGGGTCAAATGCAGTCAGCTGTGCAGTAGTCAACTTCTACAGAGGTAGTTACACAATCAAGCCACCTGTTTATTCGTGAGGGAAATAATGATTCCTGATAGAGAACCTGTGCTTGCTTAGTGATATGTTTTGGAGCTCTTTGAAGATGCTTAGTTACTAGAGCTTCTGGCAGAATTTCACCCTGATGTACTGTAGAGCTCTTTGCTTTCATATAATCTTCATCTGATATTTAAAAGTGGAGTGTTGCATTGCTGTTTGGTTGCTCATACTCCGGATTATGGAGCTGGTGTGATTCCTGACACCATACCTGCTCAGTGTAGCAATCCTGTTGTCAAGGGTACATTTTTCTGTTTCTTGGCCAAACACAATGACCTTACTAATGGGATTCACCTTCCTGATTTAAGATATCTAGCCTCCCTCAGAAGTCAGCAGAGAGAAAAGCAAACCACCAGTTTGAAGTTTAGCCCATCTCTTCCCTTTTTGTAGAAGTATGTTAAGATGTCTGGTATAGGCTGACGTTTAGTGGGCTCAGTGAAAGCGATGGATCCCATACAAGCAGATTAGGATTGAAATGTTTCTTTCCTTTGTACCACTATTCTCCTTTGTATCACTCTTCTCCTTTGCACAACTTCTAAAATTGTCCTCTAGTCCTGTCATAGAGTGATAGATGGAAGTCGGCACTAAATCACATGCTTGCCTAAAGCAAAGCATTTTGCTGTTTTATTCACAGCATTTGATGATGACATAGTTTCTACAGATGTCTCCCGTTATATTGAAGATCCTGGGTTTGGGTACAAAGACTTTGCAAGGCGAGGAGAAGACCATCTGCCAACATTCAGAGCTCAGGTACCGTCACTTTAAAGCACATTCACTCAATGAATGTTCATATATCTCAATACAGGGCAAGTAGCATAAAAGAGGTTGTAGTGGGGCATGTTTTTTGCATGCTCCTTTTCTTGTCTTCATCCATTAAATAACTCACAAGCTTCCACAGATGTCCCTGAGATGGAGTCTTTTACTATTTTTAAATCTCAGACAAGGTAGTACATGGCTTTTTGTCTTATGTCCGTTATTACCAGTAGTAATGTTTTAAAACTGTAAAGCATATCGCTACATTTAGAATAAAAGTGAAAGGCAGAAAAGAAACAATTTCTTTCCCATCCCTCTAGATGTTGTATTAAAAAAAAATCCACTGGAGGAGCTCTTTATTCCTGTCATTTTTTTATCTAGTATTCTCTGCCCAGTGGTTATCAATACCTGTATATATATGTCTGTGAGAGCGATTTAGTGAGTATTGTTCTCATATGTGCACCACATCACTGGATTTTGGATGCTGGGAAAGAAAAGGAGTTCCTAAAAATGATTACTGAAGTTTTTGATGTATTTTAATACATCTTTTCCAGTGCTATTGAAAGAACAGCATGTACATTTTACCTGTACATTTTCTTATATATTGGCATCTTTTTCCATGACCAGAATCCTGAACTTTATGAAATATATAACAGGAGGGACATTCTAAGTTGTTGTGTTCTATCTTAATAGAGTACATTAATGAGCAGTCTAGTAAAAAATTGAAAGCAATGAAAGAAACCTTAAACCAAATCAGACAACTTCAATTAAAACTACAGTGGGTGCAGGAAAACTTCATGGTCAGAAGATGTATCTAAACTGTAAAATACAGAATCCACGATCGCTCTCAGGAAATGTATTTATCTGTATAGCAATCTCTACCTATCTGGATAATTTACTCTGTGGTCTTTATATGAACCTGAAGTAACTTGTTACTGCCAAAAAGAATAAGGCAAAGTCTGTGCCTCTAAATCAAACGTTCTGCTTAACTACTTTAGGAGCAGCAGGCTCCCTTGGATAAAAGCTCCAGAGAAGTTGAAATTGGAACTAAAACATCTCTGCTCTTAAATAAACAGAAGAGCTTTTGGCCTACATTCAAAGGAGTCACCTTGATAATTTAACTTTTTTATGTCTGGCTCTTAACAATTGGGTGTATATACCCACAGCCTCAAAAATGCTTTGCTGCTAATGGTATTTAAATTGCAGTAGGCTAATGATATCCGGCTGGAGATAGGGTGTTGCAATATGATATTCATTGCCAAGAAGTCTGGGGGAATGGAGCAGGTGATGTGGATGAAGAATTCAAAATGCAAACTTTAGGAAGAGAATTAAGTTATTATTATCAGACAACAAAAACTGTTGAGCCATAGAGAGGATCAGATAGGGAATTCACTTCATTTGTACATTTATATTTCCTTCTCTTCCTGCAGGACTATACTTGGGAGAATCATGGCTTTTCCCTTGTAAACAGGCTTTATTCTGATATTGGGCATCTTCTGGATGAGAAATTTCGGATGGTATATAACCTCACATATAACACTATGGCAACACATGAAGACGTTGATACAACGATGCTAAGAAGAGCTTTATTTAACTATGTCCACTGTATGTATGGAATCAGGTATGGAGAAAAATCCCCTGGCTTAGGAATAGACTTTTAACTATGTAAACAGAAAAATGAACCATGTGAAAAGCATGATTTTAGACTCTGGGTGTTTAAAGTGAAGACAATACCTCAGTCAGGAAGTTAGAGTGGGTTTTCTGGCATATCAGTATAACTTTTCCTTCCAGTGCAGAAAAGAATTATCAGGATATCAGGATAGAAATTATTACAGAAATGTCTTCTCTGAAGCCAGTCTGAAACCATTGTTCAGGAAAAACAACATCTCAAAGCAAGTTCACAAACAACACAAAGTTGGGCAGGGAGGGTAGGAAGGCTCTACAGAGGGATCTGGACAGGCTGGATCGATGGGCCAAGGCCAGTTGTATGAGGTTCCACAAGGCCAAGTGCCAGGTCCTGCACTTGAGCCACAACAACCCCAGGCAGTGCTACAGGCTGGGGCAAAAGAGGCTGGAAAAGTGCCTGGTGGAAAAGGACCTGCGGGTGCTGGTCCACAGTGGCTGAACATGAGCCAGCAGTGAGTCCAGGTGGCCAAGAAGGCCAACGGCATCCTGGCCTGTATCAGCAATAGTGTGGCCAGCAGGACCAGGGCAGTGATCGTCCCCCCTATACTTGGCACTGGTGAGGCCACACCTTGAATCCCGTGTTCAGTTTTGGGCCCCTCACAACAAGAAAGGCATTGAGGTGCTGGAGCATGTCCAGAGACAGGCAGCAGAGCTGGTGAGGGGCCTGGAGCACAAGGTCTATGAGGAGTGGCTGAGGGAGCTGGGGGTGTTTAGTCTGGAGGCTCGGGGGGGACCTTCTCGCACTCTACAACTACCTGAAAGGAGGTTGTAGCCAGATGGGTGTCACTCTCTTCTCTCAGGTAACAAGTGACAGGATGAGAGCAAACAGCCTCAAGTTGAACCAGGGGAGGTTTAGATTGGGTATTAAACGTCTTCACAAAAAGGGTTGTGAAGTACTGAAACAGACTACCTAGGGAAGTGGTGGAGTCACCATCTCTGGAAGTGTCCATGTCCACCTTGAGGACATGGTTTAGTGTTTATCATGGTGGTAGTGCTGACTAAACAGTGGACTTGATGGTCTTAAAGGTCTTTTCCAACCTTAACAATTCTATGATTCTGCTAAGCCTTTTAGATGTTAGCAGGTGGTTTTCTGTCATGTATAATAAATGCTCCAATTCCCAGTCTTAAGAACATAATGCTGCAAAAGATAACGCTTTTAAAAACTTATATCAAACAGAGTGATTACCTGTGTTATTTTTAGGTATGATGACTATGATTATGGGGAAGTTAATCAGCTACTTGAACGCAGCCTGAAGGTTTACATAAAGACAGTGACCTGCTACCCAGAGAGAACTACCAAGCGCATGTACGATAGTTACTGGCGTCAGTTCAAGCACTCGGAGAAGGTATGTATCTCAAAGCCAAAGTGGCTTCACAGAGACCCCTGTGCTGTTTAAAAATAAAAATATGGGGACGCCTAAAAACAGCAGTATCTATCAAATGAACTGTTTTAAATCAGAGAAAACCAAATGAGATTAATTCATCGAGTGTTAGTTACCAGTTTTACAAAAATACTTCTTAATGTACTGGAAATGCTTTCATTTTTTTTATTATTATAATTTTGAATGGCTTCTTTATAAAATGGACAACTGTAAAAGAAAAGTAGATAAACTTGAGAATGCAGAAGTGGTGAACTATGCCAATACTTGGGATTTAGAAATCAAGAAATACTTAAACTCATATATACATATATATATATATATATATATAATCTTCATGATGTTTTTTAGCAATAAAGATGTCAACATGCCTTCAGATATCCCCATGAAATGTTTCCTGACAAGGGTTCAGTGCTTGTGTGCCTGCTAGCCTAATCTGGAATGGAAACTGTTCCTTATTCTGTGTTCCTATAGTGCTCAAAGGTGCTAGTAAAGAAAACAAAATACAATTCAGGAAGAACTAATGCCATTAAGATTTAAAAAAGGTATATTGGGAATTCTCGGATGGAAGATTGCTTAAAGCAGCAGTTGAGGCTAGTTTCTTGCAGTCTTGGGATGTTGTCCATATTGGCATACTACACAACTGTCTCAAGAGGAACTGCAGTACTGCAGGAGAGTACTGGAGGAAAGGACATAGTTTTCTTCAGCAATACTTTAGTAAAGGTAGGAAATTTTAGCCTAAATGAATAATGATGTTGCATTCAGAGGTGAGCTAAATGGCTGATTTAATTTTTTTTAACAGGTTCATGTCAATCTACTTCTAATGGAAGCTCGGATGCAAGCCGAACTTCTGTATGCCCTTCGTGCCATAACTCGTCACTTAACCTGAAGGATTTGCTGGGCAGGAGTAAAGAAGTTTTTACTGAGTATGTAAAGACCTTTTGAAATAGATACACACCAGAAGCTGTTTGTGATGTAGCATCAGGTTATTCAATTCTCTAGTGTCAAAGTTTAGCCGTGCTTCTTGGCGGCTGTAATGTGCAATGACGTGTTTTATTTTCTTGATGCTTAACATTACTAATGATAACAAAAGTAACACTGAGGAGCACTACTCTGCATTGTTTCCGCCTGGATTTCTGCGCAGTGGTCAGGATCCTGAAACTGTTTTTATTATATCCAATCCTAGCGCTTTGTTCTTTAGGCACTGGAGTGAAGTGCTTAGAGACTTCTTTTTCCAAGCAATCATTTTTCAGATTAGTGGAGTCCAGCAGAAGATCAGTTCTGCCTGTCCTGAGAACGTACCACCATGTCCTGACTCATGACAGAGACACGCGGGCTGTGTTGCATTGAAATGCCCACTGGATTCTTCTGTGTCTCCCGGAGACTGCTGCCAGTCACTGTCTTACTACAGCAATTGGAGGTGATGCGAGATGTCGATGCAAACATCGAGCACACTTTAATGTGAAATTAATCTTGATAAATCCTACAGCATGCTACTGAAGTGCGAAATTCATCTGCTTTGTCATGCCCCTTCCCAAGAGAAGAGGCCTCATGATTTGCCATTTCAGTCACACTTACTGTGTTTCAATCATGCATAACCTTGTTTTACTGACAGTCACCCTCAGTTGTCCTGACAATATCCATGCTCATCACATGTTGCAATTTTTTTAGTTGGCACCTATAAAATTAATACGCAGGCTGACCAAAAATAGGGTTGTGGGGTTTTTTGCACTCTCTCCTTTATCAATGTTGTAACTAAGGAAAGTAAAGGAAGGCTAGCATATCTGTTCTTTCATATTGGATGTATAGAAATCTACTTCCCATAACTTTTTCATAGCATGAAATTGTAATATTCAAAGTTTAAAAAGTTTCTATGCATTAGTGTGAGTGAACAAAAGAAAAGTGCAATATTTAAAAAGAAATCAAGCTTTTTTCCCTGACATGCCACTGCTAAAGTGTCCTTTTTATATAGCCATAAAGAAATTTTTAAACCAAATTTCTTTATTGTCTAAGGCCTAGCAGTTTTGTTTTAGCTTTTACGGCTTAAGACAACCTGATACTGAGATGCCAAAGCATCCCCAAAACAAAGCATTTTTGGACAACCAGTAATATTGGGGAAGGGAAGAAATAAGCTGCCAAAAATGTCACACTTTTGTGCTGGTTTTTGTTGCTTTTGACTAATTTTTAAGAGCACAAAATGTTGATATTTATAGCTTTATTTTGTATTGCATTAATGAACCAGTGAAGTGCCTAAAGAGATGCTTAAACTTACCCAGTAGAACACAAGTTGTCACTGCTTCAACTTTTGTCTGTTGGTTTGGACTTTTCATATTTCTTTTGAGGAGGGTGACCTTTATTTCTGTGGCATACATTCAAAACTAACTAGTCAGGTTTGATTTTAATATTCCATTGGATTGTAGAAATTAATACAGAATTTTTTTTCATTAGTGATTGCAGAATAGTTAAAAAAATACTGCCAGTCATATTTTGACACTTTTCATTTACAAAATCCTGGACCAGTACTCTTCTAAAGTTAGTTTTCTCTTTTTTCCCTTTTATGATCCTTGCTGTGACTTCGCATGTTGGTTTTTCCGCTTTATCTATCTGTTCCAGATTGGAAAGCTAAATGATTGTACACTTTTCTGCACTTTCAGACTGCAGACTCTGCATGTGAAAACCTTTTGAGGAAGAAATCAGTAATTAATTTTTTTAATGTCATGTTGGCTATTTAGAAAACTACCCAACAGACAGCATCAGACTGTCTTCTAGAGAGAGCATTGGATAGAACATCAGATTTATTTATCTTGTATAGCTAACTGCAAAGATTTCTCAGAATTATTGAGATGCTCATATGTATGAATTTAGATTAACTTTCTAAGTTGTTATGATTCTTTTTCCTCCCTCCTGTGATTGTAGTGGCCATACCTAATAGCTTTTGTGCATAGAACAGTTCTGCTGAGAGAAGTTTTCATGCAATACTTTTGCTTTTTTCAAGTGATGGGAACTGTTCAGTACTATTTTGAATTCCTTTGTTTTGAAAAGTCAAGTAGTTCTCAAGAAGCACAGCTGAGCTCTGGAAAGGAGGTGAAATTAGACTTGGGTAACTAATATGATGGCTTAGTTTCCCTTCAGAAATGCAAAGACTTCTTGGGTAGGTTGAGTTTTACATTTGGAATCATGAGTGCCTTTACTTCTTTCATATGAAATATACTTGCTAGCTCAAATGCCTTCTGAGCAAAGTACATGACCAGATTTGAAATACAGAAACCATAAATGGATTGCTTCATAAAATTTGTAGTAAACCAGTGTTTTGTTTCGGTTTTTTTAAGGTGCCATATCAAGTCACATATGGCCTGCAAGACATTCCGTCATAGGAAATGTCATTGTACAACTAGTTTGCTATTTCAATTTTTTTTTTTAAAATATTAAATGCAAACTTGAAACATCTGGTAAAGTTTTCCACGTGGCATTTTTTCTTTCAAAGTATTGCATTTACAGTGCAAGAATTTATAGCCTAGTTTTTACAATCAGATTTTGGGGTTTTAATAGATGTTTGTTCAGAATAGGTGTTTAAAGTCAGACAATGCTACCATACTCTTTTTGCACACTTTAGGTTCACACTGTGCCAAATTTTAATGTGCAAGTGTTCTTGGATTTTTTTGCGTTTTTAAGCACTCGTGAATGTGAATCTTCACACTTCATTAATATTTTTCCTAAGAGTACGGCAATCATTGGAAACGTAGATACTCTCCCTCTGTGTTCCTTTATTGAAATTGGTAATTACCAGCATTGTTAGTCTACAAAATCCCAGCCATGACCAACATAAAAACAAAGTGTACAGTCTCCTGTCTGCTGAAGAGAAAGCTTGGTAGGTACAAATTAACCAACTAGCACAGGGAACACTGTAAGTAGGGAACAGAGCTTTTGAGCATGGACAGCTTCTTATCATTGCAGAGTCACTTTAAAATGTGTTGCAATAGAGTACATCCTTGCTGAAATTCCTACATTCTTTTTTGTAATAAAGAGAAATGAAAAAGGTGCCAATTGGAGAAAGCATGTACATTTTCTGGAACACTCTACCCACAGCTGAACATCACGAGACTGTCATCATACAAGAACAGAAATAATTTTTAAAACAGAAATAATAATTTTAAACTTGGGTGCATTTTGTGCAGATAGCTGCTACAGCTACTATTGTAGCAGAATTTTGGTGAGCTGTAGATGGATTTGTTTTCATCAAGGCTGAACTGAAACATATATCCTTTGCCCTAAAACCTTAATTAAAATGAAAATCATAGAATCATAGAATATGCTGAGTTGGAAGGGACCCATCAAGATCGAGTCCAGCTCCTGGTCCTGCACAGGACCATTCCCAAGAGTCACACCATGTGCCTGCGAGCACTGTCCAAACACTTCCTGAATTCTGTAAGGCTTGATGCTGTGACCACTTCCCTGGTGAGCCTGTTCCAGTGACCAACCACCTTCGGAGTGAAAAACCTTTCCCCAGTATCCAACCTAAACCTCCCCTGACACAGCTTTGTGCCATTCCCTCCAGTCCTGTCACTGGTCATTGGTCTTGAGACTGAAGAGATTGGTGAGGTCTCCCCTCAATCTCCTTGAGGCTGAACAGACAAGTGACCTCAGCCACTCCTCATATGGCTTCCCCTCCAGATCCTTCACCACCTTTGTTGTCCTCCTTTGAACACTCTCTAATAGTTTAATGTCTTTTTTATATTGTGGTGCCCCAAACTGCACACAGAACTCAAAGTGAAGCTGCACCAATGCAGAGTAGAGCAGGACAATCATCTCCTTTGACCAGCACCTTGATCCTTGAAAAGGATGTACTTTCAGCTGTAAGAGTTAAAGAATTGCCACTATCAGCTCTTCCTATGTATTAAAAAAAGCCTTTAAGGACAGGAAAATCAGTGATTGTAAACAATTATATATGTGGGTCTCTATAAATGTAAAACAGATCAGAACAGAACAAAAAGGAAAACATTTTGCTGCTCTGTTACTTGAGTGCAGAAGTTCAAAGCACCAAATTCTTCAAAAGTATTTTTGTTTGTAGTGATGCTGATAGATATTTTCATGGGTTTGGAAAAAGCAGCTAGCTGCCTGAATTTAAGTGGACATTTAAGCACCCAGGCACTCAGCAAAATCCTAGCAGGTGCCCACTTGCATTTTTGAGTCAGATTTTTAAAGAAACTTAGTCACCTAAATTCAACAGAATACAATTAGTTTCCATAGAGATTAAAGGAATAATGTGTACCAGATCCATGTGATTTGCAGCAATTGTTAATGAAATGGGTTGTTTTGGGGACTTAATGTAGGCTTACAGAAATCTCTCCCAAAGCAGTTAAACTGTAAGATGCTGCTCTTGCAGAACAGGTTCTCAATGTTTCTCATGCATGTGTGTTTTCCATGAACATAGGCATGCATTTCAGGCTCATGTTCCAGAATTTGGACTCCCTTTCAGAAGAGCTGGATTATTTAATTTCAACTTGCAGAAAAGATTCATTTGAGGTAGTAAGTGGATAACTTGTGCCTGGGCTAAAAAGTTTTGGCTAGAAAGAAATACTGAAGTCTTCTTGATCTCAAGTGATGTTCTTTCAGTTACTTTCCTTAGAGGTTTGGATCCTTCTCCCGTAAGGGATGATGTTGCACAAAATAAAGGAAGAGGGGAGTGGATTCATTTTAAATGAACTTTCCCAGAGCAGATCTGAATATAAAGGTGTAAGAATTAATTTTCTGTTAATGATCATTCCAAGAGCTGGACAAAAATGTCAGTTTTCACTATCTGAACTTCAGATTTACAGTCCCTAATGTCCCCCAGCACTATGTCTGTCTGAAGAGATGCATCCACCAGCTTTTCTATATCTAGGAATTGTAAGTGAAAGTTTTTATCTCCAAATGAAAATTAATTTAGCATTTCATACCTACTGCATAGATCACAGGTGTGGGAGATGGAGAGAGCACAGTAGTATGAGGAAACTAGGAGCATCTTGATCAGTATTAATTTATTCCGTAGACCAGATTTCCTATCATGTGGTCATGCTGCTGCTCCCCAAACACACATCAGGTCTGTTTTGCAGACATTTAATCCTTCTGCCACTCATTAGGGGCAAAAATTGTCATTTTCCAACCTGTCACCACCCCCGTCCTTCATCAAGTGCTTCCTGTCTTCCCAGTTCACAGCCCTGAGCAACCATGCAGGGACAACCTCCCAGCCTTAACTTTGAAAAAACAAGATTGAGTTGAGTGCAGAGGCTCCTTCTTATGTTTAGAAACACTTAATTGCCATATTAGGTTATTTCTGGACAGGAAAATTCTATATGTGGTTTGAAAGGATGAAACTCAGTATATTTAGGTAGCATTTGCCAGTAGCATGTAAGAGCCCATCTCTGGAGTTACAGTAAAAATCCAGTGGATACACTAAGGAAACTCTTTGGCGAAGCACCCCATGTTTGAGCTATTCAACTGCAGGTTTCTCTGAGGGACATCTAATGGGGGATTTGAGGTCCCCCTTGTGCCAGGCAGGCTTACAGGGCCATTGGGTCAGCATCCCCTCAGGTGTCTTGCAGCCTGGCAGACTGCATCCAGCCTCTGGAACAAGAGGATTTGGGTTTTTCACTTACCAATGGGAAAAAAATCCAAATGCGCGCTGTGGAATGGCTGCTGGAGACAGCGGCAGGGTTGGGTGTTTCTATGGGTACTGAGTATCACCAGGGCTTGTGGAAAATAGAAACCTGAATTCTGCCCTTGTTCCTGACGGCAGTTAGAGGTGGTACTGAAGATGCCAATTATTTTACTAACTGTGGGGAGCAAGCTGTGCTATCAGGAGGTACAGATCACAGGCATTGTTGAGGGGACACGGCCAGCACAGGAGGAGTTGATGTGTTGGTCAGTTGCAGAAACTTCATTGATGTGTCCAAGAGGTTCTTTCTATAGGGGAGGTGGTGGAAGATGCCTCCTTCCAAGGTGTCCAGAGGGCTGCTTTGGGAAAAGGGCTGGGACCTTTTGCTTACTCCACAGGTGGAGCAGGGGAAGGGAACCAGTCACTTCTGCCCAAGAAAAACTTGCCACTGTTGAATTGCATTTTCTTGCCCCCATCATGCATTTGACGGGAGTTTTCAGGCAAAATGGGTGAATCACCAAGCATTGTGTCTCCAGCTGAGGGGTCTGAGGGGCAGCGACAGCAGCAGGTCCGAACATGCACTGTCCAAAACTGTTTCTCATTCCTCACTTCATGCTCATGTCGTGCCACCAGACCCAAACCTCTTCCCTCCAACCCGGCTGCCACATGCCCAGGTGCCTGCAGGAGCAGCCCACTCAGGGTGGTGAGCAATGCAGCCACTTTTAGGGAAAAAATAATAGTAATTAGGCTACAGCCCTTGGACTCTGCAAGGCAATGCAGTCAGAGATCTTTCCACAACTGTGACCGGAACTGGATATAAACTGTAGCTTAAAAAAATAGGAATTTTGTAAACTTGAAATCTCTTGGTTTTACCCTCTTCTCCTTTTGCTGGAAAGCCACACGATGAATGTATACACTTTATCTTTCTATCTGACATAACTGAAAATCAGACTGCCAACTCCTTGTTTTGTATTAGCCTTTTTTTTTTAAAAAAAAAAGTTTGTGAGCAATATATGTAGCATGCTGTGAACGTCTGTTTTGATCTTTATAGTTACTCTTTAATCCATCAGTATTAACACCAGTTCTTTTTTGTGTTCCCCTTGGTACTTCGTATGCAGTGTAAGCAGAAGCTGTGATCGGCTTTGCAGTCCTGTGCCATGTTACTGTAACTCCTTGATTTTTTAGGAAGCACCTGACTGTGGGCCACCCTGGGGCAGGTAGCGTGCCCGTACACGACTGCCACTTTTCGGTCTCTTGTACTATGTATAGTTTTAAGTAGAATAAGCTTTTTAACAGAATATTGATGCAGTTTATGAGTCACGCAGGCTGCAAGTGTCTGGTGTGTGAGTCTTTGTATTTATAGTTGTTGGGGTTTGGTTTTTTGTTTCGTTGTTGTTTTTTGGTTTTTTTTTTTAAATTCATAAAGTAGCAAACTTGATAAACATAGCCACTTTAAACTGCTCTTGCTAAACAGACCCTGCTGTAGATAAAATACCACTGTAGATACAGAGAGGAGTGCCAGCTGTTCTCTCTGGACTGTGGGTGAGCTGAGCCCCTCTCTGCAAAAAGCACGATCAGAGCTGCACGGCCACCCTGTGTTTGACTACATTTGGACCCAAACACCGGGAAGGTTTGGGTCTGGCATGTGTTTCAGCCCCCTGTGCCCATAAGCCTGCCGCTGGCTGTCCCCCCACAGTCTGCTCACTAGTGCTTGGGGGGGAACATGAGCCTTGCTGGTGTGAGAGGGATGGATGGACAAGCCGCTGGACTGCAGATGTGGTCACGGTGTTCCTGCAGCTGAAAAGCTTCAAAGCCTCTCTAGAGTGCAAAAATTAGCCCTTGTTTTGCTGTCTGCAGAGCCTGGCACATCGGGGAAAGAAGCAGTGCTGGCTCTCTGTTGGCAGCCATGGGTCTGAGCCCCCTTGGCTGGGGTGGCAGGCAGGCCAGGGCAGGCCAGGGCAGGGCAGTGCTGTGCCCAGAGAGGGGTGTTTCATTGCATCTCCCACCTCTGACCCTCTGGACAGGGGGTAAATTGTACCCAGCCCAGCAGCTCTCAGCTTCTTGCCTCCTTCTGCCACAGCCATGCGGGTGTTTCAGGATGGAGGGTTAAGGACAAAGCTCTGATCCTGCTGCTCCATCCCACCACCACAAAGTGAGGAAGCGTGGTAGCTCTATGGGTCCCACAGTCCCTACAGCATCCTGCAGGCAGGTGGCACATCACCTGTCCTGCCTCCTGGCCCACCTGCCCTGAGCTCTGGAGACAGGCTACAGGCTTCATACTTTCACAGGAGGTTTGCCTGCAAGGTGAGGCAGCTGCTAGGAGCTCACTGTGGGTTCCCAGAGCAGCTTTTATCTTTTTTTTTTTCTGTTGTTGCTGGTTGGGTTTGTTTTTTTTCTGCAGAGG